TATCAATCAACAACAAGACCTGTTTTTTTATAGCAAAGGATTGAAAACACTGAGAAAATTACAAGACCTGAAGCCTCATAGAAAGTGAAATTTCCAATATTTTGACAGCGTTTTTTGTATGTTATGTTGTTAATTCGAAGTTTGAATTGGATTTTATAATAATTAAGCTCTTTCAGTCTTGTTTGAGACTCGTCAACAACAATAAAATTATTGCACAACAATTATCATTTTAACCAAGTAAGTGAATATATTATATACCTACTGATATCGATACAATTATGAATATTTTAGATATGGATTTGAAATCAATCAACAAGGCCTGTCTTTTTATAACAAAGGATCAAAAACACTGAAAAAATTATAAGATCTAGTATAAAGTGAAAGTTCCCAATATTTTCTACGATAGAGACCTCAAAATAATTGCAAATCTTTACTGGAACCAATAAACTATACAAATTAAGGTAGATCATAAAACTATTGTACAGAAATTATTATTTTAACCTAGTAAGTAAATATCTTATATACTTAGGTAATCGATACAATTGTGGCATATTTTTAGCTATGCATTTGAAATACTCGTCGAATTTGACGATAACGCAGTGTTGCTCCCAAGACGTACCACCAAAATGATTGGATCATATTGAGCAGTTTATTGAGTACGTTTATCTCGTAAAATCCGGATCCGATCGACTTGATCCCATCCAGTGAATCTCCGTTTCTCTCATAAAATGAATTATCCGATCGATAAATCCTTTTTTTCCCAGCGCATTCAAATAGAAAGAGACGGGCCGAATTAAACAAAGCAAAAAAATCTTATTTTTTAATAAATTTGTGGCAAACTCCCATTAGAGGGAAAAGGGGAAAGCAGTTTCTGATTTTTACAAGGAAAGAAGATCCATTTGAAGGAAAAAAACTTATATTTTCAAAACTTTACTTCATAACAAAACAAGTTAATAACACTAAAAAAGTGAGGTTAGACGAGCTTGCCAAATTTCATTTGAATCGCGTTTCTGTCGTAAAAGGAAAAATTTCGATCCGGATTAGAAAGTCCGATCCGATTGAAAAACAGGATTGATTTAAAGACTTCCATCCGATACAAAATCAGGCGTCATCGTTTATCTCGCTGTTTTCAAGTGGATGGAGTTTCTATCGGATGCATTAGATCCGATCGAACGGCCCGAGATAAACGTGGTGATTGATGGAAAATATTCGCTTTTTGAAATCGTTGTCTTAAAAAATGTATGTTTTTAATAAAAAAACGAGGCCCCTTCCCCATCAAATGTTGGTTCCAACCAAGGATAATACACACTACTACTACAGGATAGCCTATCCTCATAAGGCCTGTGTGGAACAAATCCACTCTCTCCCCAACGTTAAATCACCAGTTGTGACGTAAGCAGCATGTTATTTCTCGCCTTGAAGTAGGTTGTTTAAACAGCTGATGACTTAGTTATGGCGTCGTAAATGGTAACACACGAGGTCAATGAGCAATCCTGTAGGTGTGTATCATCCTTAAGTTCGAACACCCTCTACCAGGTACAACATGAAGCTAGCTGCTGGACCCTCATAGTTACGTCACCACCACAGCATCCTGTTATAAGACACATCAAACTTGACACATGTACTCTAAATGGCGCCACGGACGTGACCCAGGTCGCTATGACGTCATCACAGAACCCGAACCATGAATCGAACTTTGCACTATGTACTCTAAATGGCGCCACGGACCCGCACTGACGTAACCCACGTGACCCAGGTCGCTATGACGTCATCACAGAACCATGAAACGAACTTCGCACTATGTACTCTAAATGGCGCCACGAACGTGACCCAGGTCGCTATGACGTCATCACAGAACCCGAACCATGAATCAAACTTTGCACTATGTACTTAATAAATGACTCCACGGACGTGACCCAGGTCGCTATGACGTCATCACAGAACCCGAACCCTGAATCGAACTTTGCACTCTGTACTCTAGATGACTCCACAAACGTGACCCAGGTCGCTATGACGTCATCACAGAACTCGATCCATGTCGAACTTTGCACTATGTACTCTAGATAGCGCCACGGACCCGCACTGACGTAACCCACGTGACCCAGGTCGCTATGACGTCATCACAGAACCCGAACCATAATTAAATATACGTAGCGATTTCGAAACGACTCGGAGCAATCCCTTCCACGCAAACTCCATATTACAGGAACCTGTGATTCCCCGAACCATAATTAAATATACGTAGCGATTTCGAAACGACTCGGAACAATCCCTTCCACGCACACTCCATATTACAAGAACCTGTAATTACCTGAACCATAATTACATATACGTAGCGATTTCGAAACGACTCGGAACAATCCCTTCCACGCAAACTCCATATTACAGGAACCTGTAATTGCAAGAATTCACCGCACTCTCTCGCTATGACGTCATCACAGGTGACAGATGACGTTTGACAGATGACGTTTGACAGGTGACGTTTGACAAATGACGTTTGACAGGTGACGTTTGACAGGTGACGTTTGACAAGATGGCGGGAAAACGTTTCCCCCCACCCCTTTTTCTGGTACCCATGATAAAATCCGGGGAGCCCCTTTTCGGGGGGCGCAGCCCTGTGGGCCCCCTTTTGGGGGGCGGAGCCCTACGGGTCCCAACTACAGCATCCTGTATTACGAACTTCACACTATGTACGCTAGATGGCGCCATGACGTTTGACAAGATGGCCCCGACGATGCATCCACCTTCGTGTCAACGGCGGCGCATCCACCACGTGTCAAGAATGAAAGATTGAGGTTATGGTCGGATTTTTATAGTGAAACCCGCTTTGACTATCTACTGAGACAGGTCCAGAAAGGCGTTTCCCCTTTAAGGTAGTTTGCACTGGGAGGAGACTTAGCTAGAGGGACTTTTCCCATTAGAGGTAGTTCGCACTAGCCTTAGTCTGCCGGTAATGGATTTCGGCGCTGTATTTATACCAAATAAATGCTGACTCGTCGACACACTTTAGTAAAATTGATGTACAGAGTGGTATTTACTTAAGTAGTTGACAATATTACTTCTATAATAAAATTTAAAATATCTGGGCTTGAAGAACCGTTTTTCTATCTTGAACTTTATATAAAAAATAGAGAATGGCTGACTAAAGTTTGATAACTTTTTCATATTTTTTGACAACTCTACTCTACTCACTAATAACAGTCGTAAATATAATAATCAAAACACCAGTAACAGGAAAATTGACAAAAAGTGGATAATCTTCAATGATAATCTTACCAATTCTGACTTTATATGTGTTATATCGGGTCTTCAGAAAAAAAACCAATCAAAGATTGCTATGGTTTTTTAAACGTATGTCTTAGCACTATTTTCCTTTAATTTTGACAATGTCAGTCAATGAAATTTTATGTCAAAATGTCATTTCAAAAATCCTGACCAATAAAGAAACAATAATGTGATGTACGTTTGCGTAACCAAAGCAATCTTTGATTGTTTTTTTTTTTTGAAGACCCGATATAATAAGTTATTGTTCAAGTATGGTAATTTTTCAGGACTGGTGCAATGGTAACTTTTAATCAGAAAGGCGCGATCTACATTACATACAAGATTCAGCCAATTCTGATATAAACATTATTTCCGTATACTTTGGGTAGAGTCCTTTCTATTGATGTTAGCATTTTGGATGAAATTTTTAATTGCACCGCGCAGCTCTGAGCACCATATAATTATTAATTATTGAGAAAGTAAATTTTGTTCATGTTGCTTCATGTTCACTTCAAAATACCTATTTAATATGTACGAAAAATGTTGAAGCATAATGGGGATTTATCTGTAAGAAGTCTCCACAAACTCAGCTCAAATAAACCACTTGAAGAAGGAACCGAAGACTAAATAGAAAATGAAGGATTCAAAAACGAAAATTTCAAGGCTTCAAACTTCAGTTCCCAGGCAATTCTTGCAGGCAATCCCAATCGACCAGAGCCTTCAAGTCAAAAGAATCATTAGAATATTCCAATAAAGGCTTATCATCAATAGATTTGAGTCTTACAGGAACAATATCTAAACAGGCTTACCTACTGCCACTACCTCTAATATTACTGGTGAAACTAGAGATATATATGTATATCTATGGTTTCAGTGTTCAGTGGCAACATTACAGGTGGTGGCAAACAATCACTTGGACATGAAAGAGCTCAGGAAAGAGAATATGAACAATATGAAGGCTACTGTAATCTATTCTGGAGTTAGCAGATCGCAAACTTTGAATATTGAAACCCATTCAGCAAATGATTCCAGTACATTGACTCGTTTCTGAAGAAAGTGAACTACTTATGGCTTATTTAACATCAAGTTTCTCTTCTTACACTCAAAGTCAACAAATGAACAATTCTTTCAAAGTATCAGTGACTCAAGGAAAAAATATTCTAGAGAAGTTGAATGCCAGAGAAACCTAGAATATTAGGAAGAAGATATGCTAGAAGAGATTGATGAACTCAAATTAGTTAAATTCTTATCATTTTCAATGTAAATTTTGTCCACATATTTTGTATATTGTAAACACTAATCTAGATATAAATAATAGGGAATGATATACGTTAAACTAGAAGAATGTAAATTAACACTAAACTAACATTCAGCTCTGCTTTTGCTACCGTAACTACGTATAGGTTAGCGCTAGGCATCAGCGGCCCTCTTTGGGACATGGGTTTACTGTAGATTACTCTTTGGATGGGATAAGGCATGCTCGAGGTTGTAACAGTGCTCGTGGTATTAACAAGGTAATGACGGATCCTATGAATGTATTTTTATTAATCGTTTTATGCAAACTTATAAGACGATTAATGAAAAAAAACATTCCACTAACCAATACATTATGAAATGCCTGGTCGTTAACAGATTGTTGTGTAAATATTTTAAAAAAATTATTAACTGTGCATGACCATGCATGAAATTTACCTCAGATCTTGTAAAAATCCTACAATCTAACCAACAATTCCCAGAGTACTGATTCCATGGAAGATGTTAATTCAGTGAATTCCGCCGACACCAACAACGTAGGCTCCAACACAGAAACGCCAGAGTTCAACAAGATTCTTACAAACGACGAAAATTGGACTGACATCAACTTGAACGAAGACGATGCCCGTAATGACCTCAAAGAAGAAACGCGCAACGCTGAAAATATTACCCATTCACAAGGGTTGGATTTGGAAGGGAATATTGAAAGCCCAACATCAGATAGAGGTAGGTATACTTATTAGCTTTGTTCAAATTGACATAAGAACTGTTACAGAACCAATAATTTTCAACTATTTTATTTTATCATCTGCAAATTACCGTTCTAAAATGGTTTTCATGTTGGTTGGAACAGAGCTCTTATGATGATAAATTAATTATTTGTAGGTGAAAAACATTTAGGCCAAATCTCTGTAGTCAGAGTGCCAGAAAACGTGTTGCAACCACCTACAAACCAAGTGAGGCCTGATGAACTACCAGTCAGCAATTTGGTAGACCATATTTCACTGCCAACTCCATCCAGGGAAGCTTCCTTAACCCAAAAACTCGAAATGGCTTTGGGCTCGGTGTGCCCATTATTGCGAGAAATCATGGTTGATTTTGCTCCGTTTTTGAGTAAAACTCTTGTGGGGTCTCACGGGCAAGAGCTTTTAATGGAAGGCAAAGGCTTGACTACTTTTAAAAATAGTACGTCAGTTGTTGAGCTAGTGATGCTGTTATGCAGTCAAGAGTGGCAAAATTCTTTACAAAAACATGCTGGTTTGGCATTTATTGAGCTGATAAATGAAGGCAGATTGTTGTCTCACGCCATGAAGGATCATATTGTTAGAGTGGCTAACGAAGCTGACTTTATTTTGAACAGAATGAGAGCGGATGATGTTTTGAAGCATGCTGACTTTGAGGTAAAAATTATTTATATATTTTATTAATAATTTTTTATAATGTTAATTAATATGCTTAGACTCAATGTGCCCAAACTCTTATGGACCGAAAAGAAGAAGAGCGCATGTGCGATCATTTAATTACGTCTGCCCGTCGCAGAGACAACGTCACAGCAAGTCGCCTTCTAGAAAAAGTGCGCAACATTATGTCAAACAAACATGGAGCTTGGGGCTCTGCAGATCCAAACGAATACAGACTAACTGAATTTTGGAAATTGGATGCTTGGGAAGATGACGCTAGAAGAAGAAAACGCTTTGTACATAATCCTTTAGGATGTACGCACCCTGAAGCTAGTCTCAAGGCGGCCATTGAACACGGCGCACCTGAAGATGCAATTTTACAAGCAAGAGAGGAGTTTCATGCTCATTTGGCCACTTCGAGGAATCACCAGCAAAATCAACCCAGCGAATTGGTTGACGATAATGAATTGCTCACTGATGATAGGGAATTGGATAGTGACCTTAATGGTAATAGCATAGGGGGAATTCATAAGAATTGTGCACATTGTGCCAAGTTTTTCAAATTTGGTATTGTCTTAAGGTTATAGGAAACTATCGGAAACAACATGTGCGCGACCTCTGTGGCTATAAATGGCTGTATTGGTATTTTTAGGAGATTCTCTTCTATAAGACACAAAATCTTGAGTAATACTACTTTTTATGGGTTAATTATCATTCTCCTACTGTCTATGTATAATTTGTTCGGTGTTGCCATTTATTTTCACAGTTTTTGTAGCTCTTACAGTGATGGACTTTGGACCTGTTGGAACATTAAGGTTTAAAGTCAACCTCTATTTTCTGAACCTTGTGTTCAAAAATTTATATAAAAATGTTAATATAATACAGGGTGTCCCAGCCGAGAGTGACCAATTTTAAATACTTTTTAGTAGTGCACATTTTTTTAAAACTTATATAGGGCGATTTAATAAAAATCCGTTTTTCAACATCGTAATTTTCCACTATTTCTAATGAAACACCCTGTATATCACAACGTCAAAAAAAAAAAAGATTCATGTTCAAGATATCCATGTACCAATAGACATTGTCCCTAAAACTCAAAGTTTTAGCCGTAATAAATCAAAATCGAAATCTTGGTATTTTTACAAATGCATGCAACCTTCATGTTGTAGGTATTTGATATCCCTATGGCCAACAATTTTGTAACTGTCTAGTTACATATCAATTAAGTAAAAATACATTTTCCAAGAAAATTTAACGAGTTCCAGAGTATTTTCTCTAAAACTCGTTAAATAGAGATCCCAACAGTAACAGTTTGTTGTGCAATCTCTAGTGAGAAAAAATACAGACCATTTTCATTAATAAACCAAACTATAACACAAACTGTATACACTGATATATTCTCGTTCTCACAGTTTAGACAGGAGGGTATTTCGGATGATATGTATTTTCAGCAGGATGGTGCTCCCACCTCATCATTCTTTAATAGCAAGGGAATTACTAGATATGACATTTGGGGAAAGACGGATAAGGAGAGCTGGTCCTATAGAATGGACACTTTACTTTCCTGACTTGAGAGTTCTCTGGGTCTTTATTCTTGAAACAGGGGAGCAGCGTTCCCAGGAGAACGAATGTTTCGTCTTTCTCAATGATATGCAAATGATAAGATAAATAAAAAAGACGGAACATTCGTTCTCCTGGGAACGCTGCTCCCCTGTTTCAAGAATAGGGACCCTGGGGTTATGTCAAGGAAAGATGCGGGTAATACGTTGCTCAAATAGCCTGGAACTTAAGCGGAACATTTGTAATGTCATTGAAGCGATTCTCCACAAAATGTTACACAATTCATTCAACCATTTACTGATCCATAAATGCCTGGAAGAGAATGGCTAACATATACATATACAGCATTTTGTATAGTTTTATGCAGTTTTTATTTTAACTTTGTATTAGGCAAACATAAGTTACAAGCTTTGAAAATATGCGTTTGCAAAAATATCAAGATGGCGATTTTGATATTTTACTGCTAAAACTTCAAGTTTCAGGGAAGATGTCTATTGGTTCATGGATACCTTGAACATGATTTTTTTTCTGATGTTATGATATATAGGGTGTTCCGTTGGGAATAGTGGAGAATTTCGATGTTGAAAAACGTATTTTTTTCTACTCGCCCTGTATAGGGTTCAAAAAAATTTGCAACCTACTAAAAAAAACTTAAGGTCAAGAGAAATTGAATGGCGCAAACCGCAGGTAGCTAGCACACCTGGTTCAAAAGTTATAAGCATTTAAAATGGGTCACTCTCGGCTGGGACACCCTGTATTGTATTACTCAATCATATATTATGACTTGCCCATCCATCAAAAATACCAATCTAAAAATGGCGACCATATGGGTTTTATAGCAAACAGGCCACCAGAGGTTGCGCACAAGTTGCTTATGATGGTTTCCTAAAACCTCAAGATCATGCCACAGCTGTCACAAATACTGGTAAATAGTATTTCAAATACCAAGTATCAATAACGAGAAATTCATGCTGCATGTACAAATATGTACTAAATACTTTAAATTTGAATATTTGAAATACCTATGTGTATTTGAAATAATAAGAAGTACTTCAAGTACCCACTAAAAAGGAATTCGAATTATTCAATGATTTTTTTAAAATTGTATTGAAAGCTGAAAATACTTGTAATACCTGTAAAAAAGTATTACAGAGATTCCAGATTCCAGTTGCAGATTGTAGTTACTTTCAATTTAATGTGAGTTTTTTATGGAAGTCCTCACTCAATTTTTAATTATTTAATGTGAAAATGAAATAGAAATATAGACCGTACGTTGACAACTTTCAATAATACAATGCACTACAATGACAGAATTAGATAACAGTAGTACCGCCAAAAATTACAATTTGTCAAGTACCTACCTATTCTTTATGGTCTAATTACACTAACCATAATGAGATGGTTCACACAGTATTAAACTACTAGCTACCTATAGAAATATTACTGGATTTTAGCTCTTTGATACCTCTAAGCTCCTCTAAAAAACCTCCAAGAAAAATAGCTTCCTTGCTAGCTTGTGACATCGAAACATATTCAGCTTCAGTGCTAGAAAGACTGACAGTTCCCTGTTTTTTAGCCTCCCATGAAATAGCACCCCCTGATGAACAAAAAACATAACCCGTGTATGATTTGCCATCAATTATGTTGTTTCCCCAATCTGCATCGCTGTAGCCTGAAATTTCTAATTTATCTTGTTTTCGAAAAACTAAATTTTTATCAATAGACCCTTTCAAATATCTCAAGACTCTCTTTGCATTCTGAAAATGAATATTAGAAAAGCAATTATTGAATTGACTTAAATAGCTGACAGCAAATGCAATATCAGGTCTAGAATTGACAGCCAATAACATTAGTGACCCTATTAAGGCTGTGGTCCGAATATAACCAGGATTGGGGTTTCGCGGTCCGAAAGTAATCAAATTACTTTGGTTCCTGGAAAAGTGGTTACTTTTGGACCTTGGTTTTCTGGAATCTGGTTAACCAAATGTCAAAACAGTTACCGGCCATCGGATGTCGGTTCTATTTGTTTTATCTGTAATTTCTGTCAATTATTTCTTATTTCCTATTTGCGTTCCCCAAGTAACCGGAATTTTCAGTAACCATCTGTCAACCGATTCGGTTACTTTGATTAACGTTTGGTTATATTCGGACCATAGCCTAAATGTCTATAAGGAATATTGTCATCACAATTTTCACTCTTTTCCAATTTTAACCTAGCTTCAATAGGAGTCAATGCTCTTTTTGCATCTGACATACCAAATTTTTCTAATAATTGCAAAATGTAACGTTTTTGGTTGATTCCTAACTCATTTTTGGATTTATCTTATTCAATATTTAGTCGTAAACATTTCTTTACTGAACTAAGGACTTTAATTTTGAAATTCTGAGATAATGATAATTTTAGTTTTTCACTTTCAACCCTATTATTTGATAATATAAGAAAATCATCCACGTAAACAGCAATTATGATTATTGTGTTAAAAAAAAAATTAGTGTAAAGACAAGACTCATATCGAGACTTCTCCTAGCCCAAACCTGTCAAAGTTTTATCGACTCTTTTATACCACATCAAGCATCAAGAATGTGATCATAGATGGCTTTATTTAGTAGTACACAAACTTTACTTTTATCTACAACACAACCTTCAGGCTGGGTCATGTGAATTATCTCATTTGACTCACTATTCAAAAATGCAGTTGTGACATCTATATGTTCTATGTCTAAATGAAGACTAACAGATAATGCAAATAACAATCTCAAGGTAGAATTCCTTACCACAGGTGTAAATGTGTCCGTGTAGTCTATTCCATACTGTTGTGTAAAACCACGTGCAACAAGATGAGCTTTATAATGGCTTTATATTTACTCTCTCCATTAAAAACCCATTTGCACTGCACTCTATACCTTTTCATTTTCTTCTTTATTCACAATAGTCCATGCTTTGTTTTCCCTCGTTCCTCCTCTTTCCATTTGTCAGACTCCGGACAATTCATAGCTTCGTGTACTGACGAAGGCTCAGAAGTGTATTCTGATGCTAAATACAGTACTTGATCTGGAAACTCTTTTTCTTTCCTCATTCTCTGTGAACGTCTGGGAATTTCATTTTCTTCACTTTCAACATCTTCAGCATTTTGACTTTCTGCATTTTCACTTTCTTCATCTTCAGCATTATGACTTTCACTTTCTTCATTCAAACTATCACTGTCACTCTGATTTTGTTCGGTGTCCTGTCAAAATATATTTTTGCAGGTATTTGACAAATATATTTGAAGAAAATGCCATAAAATAAAAACTTTGAGGACGTCTGACCCCCTTTTTGCAACGAACTAGACGTCTGCGATTTACATACGTTATCTGTGACCTTCAAACAGATAATGTGCAAAATTTCTATAAATTTTGAGCTTTGAGAAAACAGTTTAGATGCTTCTTAAAATTACAACTTTGCCCGCGTCCCAGAGCCAGCTGTCCCGGAACTGTGAGTGCTGACTGTACACTAGCATTCTAGCACTAAAGTACGACCTATTTTGAAAATATTCGCCTTGCGAAAACTCTTGCATGTTTTTGGCGCCACCTCCTGGACTAACAGCATGCCCCTTTTTAATCATTCTACTCACTGACAGAAGACTTTGCCCTCAAGTCTGGTACATATACAATCTCAGATATTGTTTTGATACCATTTAGCGTACATATCTGTGCCTTTCCATCTTCGAAACTTGACATGTTCTGGTTATTCTACTGTAATCTGTGATTCATTCCTACATTCTACATTTAAAATCTTCCAAATATTTTTTTTTCTCGTAACTGTGTGTGTGTGGTTGCCCCTGAATCAAATACCAATTAGACTGTCGGAATTCGCCTTTTTATCACTTACACCGCATGCACAGTTTGTAATGCTTTTCCTGTTCTCGCCGAAGAATAATTTTTATTCTTTTTATTCTTTTTCTTCTTTTCTTCTTCTAAAAACTTATTTTTACATTGATATTCATTATGGACAATCTGACCACACTGGAAACACTGCTGTTTCTTTGAATTCTTTCCCATACTTATCATCTTGAAGCTTTGCTTTCACAAAGTCATTTGTAATATTTTTCACTGAATTCTCTATGGCCATTATTACCATGGGATTATACTCTGAGGTCAGCCCACTGAGCATAATAACGCCTAAGAATTCATCATCAACTTGATGTTCCATATCTGACAACTTCTGAGCAAAAGACATAGTCTGATTAACATAAGCTTATTCCATTGTCTGAAAATCTTCCAGTTTAATTATTACCAATTGCCGTTTTTTCTGTCCTGACGTACGGATATGCTGCACGCTTTATCATTACATTAGACAAATTTTTGCAAGAGTCTTTTGGTTCAACTTGTCTTTTTCTGCAGCTGTGGCCGTGTCTCCTGTAGGATACCCATCTATACAATGCCAGAGATTTTCATGAATAAGGGCCATTTTCATTCCAAATTTCCAATTGTTGAAATTTTCTCTACCAGCTAATCTCTCAAAACCCAATATACTAGAGGATGAGTCACCCATTTTTGAAAGAAACTTATTTCGTAACTTTTCACATTGAGTACAGATACCAACGCACTGGGCCCATAACCTGTGAGTTTTTTATGGAAGTCCACACTCGATTTTTAATTATTTAATGTGAAAATGAAATAGAAATTTAGACCTTACGTTGACAACTTTCAATAACAATGACAATAATAGAATGACAGAACTAGATAACACTAGTACCACCAAAAATTACAATTTGTCAAGTACCTACCTATTCTTAAAGGTCTAATTACACTAGCCATGATGAGATGATTCACACAATATTAAACTACTAGCTAAAGTCTGTTTTTTTAAAGATAATTCCCCAAGTCAAAAATTTAGTACCTAACTATGTTGGCCACACAAGCCTTTTCTACATAAAAATTTGGAAGCATTGACAATTTTATATTGTATTGCCAACATAGTGGGTACATTCAGGCGGTCCAGGCGGCTAAGCTTAGCCACTCAGCAGGGACTTTATTCTCGAAACCAAAGAACAGCATTCTCATAAGAACGATTGCTCTGTCATTGACAGTGTTATGCCGGACGACAAAGACAGAACCTTCGTTCCAATGAGAACGCTGCTCTCCTGTTTCGAGAATAAAGTTCCTGCTGAATGGCTGAACTAAGCCGCTGGTATCGCCTGAATGCACCCATTGTCATTATGACTATTATTTCTAAAAAAAAACAGACTTTACCTAAACTATAACTATAGAAATATTGCTGGATTAAAATAGCAACAGATTTATATAATAATTCTAACAATAAGAAATAGAGTGCAGTGAGATTGTTTTAAGATACTTATTTATTAAGGAAAATAAGTTTTTACAAATAATAATATTGAAACTCAAGAGGCAAAACGTAAGAAACCTATCCAAAGATTTTATATGTATACTGGTATTTTCTGTATATTGAAGAATAGACCTATCTATTTTTACCTGTATGCGCGCGCAACACGAGGCAATGCATTTTTATTGGCTGACTAGTACAGGTGTAAAGTAATCCTTTTGCACCCTGGGCATCTCCTTGTCCTTGTTCATTGCCCATGGTTTGACAAGGATAAAATTATGCTTGATATTCAACTTGACGTAGCTTGACAAGTGTTCGATTTTCAATTGTTTGTGTTTTTGATTGACAAATACGTTGCATGTCACACGGTTTTCCTCCTTCCTTTTTTATCCCGTGCAAATAATAAGAACGGACTGCTATACGTAAGTCTAACATAAATTGGTACGTTTTGCCTCGTCTTGCGCAGTACGCGTTTTGCGTCTTTTTCTATCTAATAAAGTTTTCGTATTATTACCTCTTTGTCTGGTAAAATAGATAGGTCTATTTCCAGTTCTAAATTTCTTTTAAGTTATTGTTATTTTAAAGACTCTCCGGGTAGTGGGACCATCCAGTATCCAGTTCAAAAATATCGTCAGTCATATCTGCTGGAGTGCGTTTAGAAATGGGAGTGTGAAGGTAGAGTAGTTGTTTGTCAGAGTGTTCTAACGTCATCACTTGGCGTACACTCTGGGTGCGCTATTTCTGAACGTATTGGGGCGTTGTGGAAAATTGTCAACGTCAAACCCGGTAAAAACCGCGGGGTGTTTTTTAACCCAGTCCCTGAGTGGGGTAATTTGGGCGCACTCTGGGCACGTCAACTCTCGTTTTCTGAACGATTCCATCGTAACGCTGCGAGTAAGCACCTGTCAATTTATGAACGGTTTAGAGTTACTCTAGGGTCACTCCCACACCCGCAGGGTGCTATTTCTAAACACAACCCTAGAGTGCGTTTAGAAATGGAGTTTGAAGGTAGAGTAGTTGTTTGTCAGAGTGTTCTGACGTCATCACTTGAGTGCACTCTGGCTGCGCCTTTTCTGGACGTAATTGGGGTGTTGCGCTAAATTTCAACGTCAAACTCGGTAAAAACCACAAGGCGAGTAGGATAATTTGAGCGCACTTTAGGCACGTCAACTCTCGTTTTCTGAACGATTCCAGCGTAACGCTCCGAGTAAGCACCTGTTAATTTATGAACGGTTTAGAGTTACTCTAGGAGCACTCTCACACCCAGAGTGCTATTTCTAAACGCAACCCTGATATAGCATTTTCTTCTGATATGTTTGTTGTTAAAATACAGGATGTCCTAGCCGAGAATGACTCATTTTGAATGCTTATAACTTCTAAACCAAGTGTGCTAGCTACCTGCGGTTTGCGCCAGTTGATTTCTCTCGGTCTAAAGTTTTTTTTTTCTACTACCGTGCGTAAAGTACTTACTTATTTACACACTATTCAGAAGACGTAAAATTTCACTTCACGCACTAGTGCGTAAAGTAATTCACTTCACACACTAATGCGTAAAGTAATGTCGATGACAGATGTCGACGCTGCCAATTTGGTATTTTCCTGGTAAATTACTCCTCGCACTAGTGCGTAAAGTGGAAATTCTTTACACACTAGTGCCTAAAGTAGGTAATCGTCTAAATTTATTTTTTTACACATATTTGATTGGTAGTATTATGTGATTATCGCATTCGCCTTCGGCTCGTGCGTCAAAATTCACATTCGTGTTCACTTTACACACTTGTTGTATAAATAACTATTGTAGGTTGCAATTTTTTTTCACGCTTATACAGGGCGAGTTAACAAAATCCGTTTTTCAACATTGAAATTCTTACTCTCGGCTGGGACACCTTGTATTATTTTGTAACCTCTACATTTTCAGCTGCGTTTACTACAATTTTTTGTATGTATGAATTAAATATTGCCAAACTCTAACCACACTACTTCGCATTGATGCCGAAATACTTGTTAGGACATGTTAATTTCACATTTTGTGAAGTATTTGAATTACTTTCTGGGGTATTTCAATTACTTTTCACTTTCTGGGGTATTTGAAATATTTCAAGTATTTTGAGTACAAATGCCCAGTATTTGAATTACTTTTTTTGTAAATCCAAGTACCAAATATAAATACTTTTTTTAAAGTATCTACCTATTTGAATTAAAGTACTTCAAATACTAAAAAGTAATTGAAATATATTTTCCAAGTAATTTACTTGAAGTACTGACAGCTAGATCATACCTAGGACTATATCAAGTTTTAAAAACTTCGCACAAAATGCACGATTCTTAAGAATTTTCAATAATTCCATTTCCGCTATAAATGTATATATTTACTATGATTGATTTTAGGTCCAGTTAATATTAGCACTAAAGCTAAGCTGATAGCTCCTGGGATTGTCGCCCCTGGAATGGTATCGGTGACGTCAGCAGAGCTGTACTTTGAAGTGGACGAGGACGACGAGGAATTCAAAAAAGTGGACAGTGAGGTAAGAATTAGGAATTCTTCGCATTAATGCAAACAAGTTTGTTCTTATTTTATATCAAATTCCTCGCGCTTCATATTAATGTGAGTGTAAAATGTTAGGTATTTTCGATGCAAATTAGCTACCGGCAATATGTACAGAAACGAGAAGTAATTTATTTTTGTCAGTGTGAAAGATGTTTTACGAAATTGTTGAATAGGGTTAAGATATGTCTTACAAGCTGCATTGTTTCTCTATACAATAGGCATAATAGAAGAAATCTGCGGGTATAGTTGAGACTTATAATAAATAACACCCCGAAGATAGACATCGTGTAATCGAGTGCTATGATAATCACTGGAATTAGCGGACTTCTTCTCGGTGGTCCTGCAACTACCGCCGAAGTCCCACGCAGCTTCATAACACCCTGTCACAATCGCCATATAATTATGTTATAAATTACGCCCAATAATCGGGCCCCGGTTTTTCGCTCGCCGTCCCTCCCGCCCCGATATACCGCCGGCTATTTGGGTTTCCTTCTATGGGATCGACGCTAATTGAAATCGACGCTCAGAGGCGGTTCAGAATCAATCGAATGAAGTGAAATATTTATAAGATAAACTAACAAGATTTGGAGATGGGTTATTGTATATGGGACTTCACCATTTTCCCATCTTCACGCTTTTTTGGGATAAATTCATCAAGAGTAAAAATAGATTGGACAATAGTGACTGAAAATGAAGCTACAACAGTTTCAATATCTCCTCAACAATATGAAAAGCTGATCTAAAATACCTTAATATGAATAATTCATAGGTATCAAACTAATTCTGAATTCTCGCACTGTCGGGCGCCACTGCTAAATACCCATTCCCAGAATGTAGATAAATGAGTTTTTTTTTTTTGGGATGGTATGTGCCCCGGAGTGATCATGGGCGTATTGTTTACCTGGGCGATCGCGCCAACCCCATAAATCAGAATCAATTTTCGTTAGTTTGTAGAACAGAGGAAAACTTAATGACCGTTTTTGTGTCATAATCCGTTCGGTGATTTATCGCTTAACGGTTTTCTAATTGATTAATTTCGGTATTGATTGCTTTTATGGGCCGTAAATGTTCGAGCGAGTGTCAGTTGTCAGGCTAAAGGAAAATTTACAGGCAACGGTATATGTGACATTGCAGATGGCGTATATGCAAATTTTTACAGTTTCTGAATTAACGATATTTCAGAAATTTGTTGACAATATACGGCTCGTCTAAATTTAATCCAAAGAACCAGTTCGGGAATTAATGAGCGATAACTTTATGCAAATTTTTGTTTGTTTTGGTCTTTAGTTTAGTATCAATTTAAGAATCAGTGTCGGCATCACTAAGAAGGATCCTAAAGACTTAGGAGATCGATTTTATTTATTATTTAAAAAAAAATCCTAATTGGTTTAGGTCATTGTTCCCTTTTCAGCTAGACTATACCATTCATAATGATTAAAATAGTCATGCTTAGTTACGTTTAAATAAGGATCATCATTATTTTTAATATTTAGTAAACATGTCACTCGTAAATTTAATAATTAAAATAAAATAGAAATAAAAGTAAGCAGAGGAAATGAAATTAACATAATGTTGTCTAGGCAAGATACATATTAATTGAACTGTTTTCATTTAGATGGTTTTAATTACTGGTTTATTTTGGTTGGAAGACTTTTATTTTGCAGTTTGATGCAACTCTTTATCTTTAGCCAATTGGAGTGGATTTTACCGAAATCCACTGATAGAAGTGAGAAAATGTATCCAGTGGCGGCTCGTGACTATTTCAAGTGAGGAGGCTAAAAGATTTTCAGTGATTTTGAGTAGATCTTACGAGTTTTTCTGGGATTTTGACCAACTTGTTTACAAATTTACCAACTAATTTAGGGGAGCCTTAACGATAAATATTCCATGGGAATTTTGCGAAAATTTTTGTTAATTCCATAGAAATTCCTCAGAATTTCACTACAAGATTTTATGGAAATCGTCGAAATTCCATTCAAATGAGAAATATGAATAGAAAAACAGAAAGTTCTAGAAATTTTATCATAAGATTTCATAATACTTTTCCGAATTCCACCATAAAATTCAATGAAATTCTTGTACAAAAATTCCTCGGAATTACAGTAGAAGATTTTATGGAAATTTCGATAGAAATTACTCAGTATTTCACTAAAATTTAATTCAAGTTTTCGGAATTCCGCCGAAATTTTTCGTGGTTCCATGGAAATTCCAGGAAAATTCTGTTTAATTCCGAGGAAATTTTTCGGTATCGATATAATTTCACTGGAATTCCACAATAAGATTTCAAGGAATTCCATGTAGGTGTAATTCGACGAGAATTCCTTAGAATTTGTCCAACATCGAACACAATCTTCCAAATTCCCTATAAATTCCCCAAGTTTTTAACAAAGAATTCCAAGGTGGTTTTGCCTCTTGGAAAATACAGTCTCACACTTTCAAAGTTTTTCTGGAAAACTAATTGGGGGAAAAACCTCTCGAAGATTTCATCAAAGTTCTTTGGAATTCCATTAAAATTTTAAGTAATTCCATAGAAATAAATACCTTAACATTTCATTAGAAGATTTTATGGAATTCTTGAACAATATTTTTTCGGAATTACAGTATGGGATTTCATGAAATTCCTCGGAATTCCACTAAGATTTCAATTTGAAAATTCCATATTTTTTTTTTTTTTTTAACTTTACTAAAGTTCCTCACAATTTTACCACTGAAATATCTTGGAATTCCACAAAATTTTCATAAAATTCTATGGAATTTCATTGACATTTCATGTAATTTCTTAAAAATTTTTCGGAATTCACTAAAATTTTATGAAAATATCCACGTTCATAACATAACCGAAAATTTCTCGAAAGTCAAATGAAACTTTAAGGAATTTTCAAAATTTAATTTATTTTCATAAGAATTTTTCGGAATTTCACTGAAATTCTCTTTTAATAGCCAGGAATTTCTGGGAATATTAAAGAAGTTTCAAGTAATATCTTAAAAATTCATCGAAATATATTGAAATTTCATGGTAATTTTTCGGAATATCACCGAAATTCCATGTTTTTAGCTGGAAATTCCTCGGCAGTACTAAAATTCAGTAAAAACTGAAATGTCATGTTGAGAATTTAGGTGTAATATCATGTTAATGTTTAAAATTCCTCCATGTAATTCATTTAGTATTTCGTGTAATTCGATCAGAATTTCACTGAAATTTCAAGTAATTCGAAAGGAATTAAAATTTAATGTGAATTCTATGGAAACTCTGCAAAAAAAATTTCTCATCTAATTCCTTTTTCAGAATAACATAATTATTCTACCGAAAGGCCTTGCTTTTTTTGCAAGTCGATATAAAATGGCGTCTTTTTGTTTCAAAGATTACGATCCGAAGGGCCGAAGTATTAAAATCAGTTAACAATCAACGGGTTCATATAACTCCGGCCCTTCGGAGTCGTATAACCTCGAACCTTCGGGCTCATGATTAAAATAACTCCGGCCTGTCGGGCTCGTATAAATCCGGCCCTTCGAGTTCGCATGATTCCGGCCTTTTGGACTCGTATAACCTCGGCCCTTTGAGCTCATAATTGAGATAACTTCAGCCTTCCAGAATCGAGATTCGAAAAAAAACATATGGCAACACTGCTCATGATACAACAAACGTCAAAAAATTGAAATTTCAAACCTTGGGTTTTTTTGATAATCGATACAAAATGACGTCTTTTTGTTTCAAAGATTACGGCCCGAAGGGGGAGAGAGCATCAGAGCAAAGGGCAGAACAAAATGCCCAAAGAGTAGCAAAACTTGAAGAGATGTTAAGAAGAATGGGAGTCGATCCAGATACTGCTTTGGATGATGTGAATGTAAGCCAAGGTACAAGCACAGAAGTTGAGAGAGGTTAATGGAACCAATTTTTCCTGAATATACATTTGGTAGTGTTAGTTTACCTATATGCCGGAGTATTAAAATCAGTTAACAATGAACGGGTTCGTTCGGATAAAACTTTTGTCGTACGACACTTTGGCAATATCGACAAATGTCACCTGTCAAATTTGACACATGTTCGACTTTTTCCCCGCTCTACTATAAAAGCTACGAAAATCAAACCCCGGTGCAAGGCAGTTTCACGACGCCAACTATCGATTTGTGTCAAAAAAAAATTGACAGCTGTCAACGTCAAAAAAAGTTTTTTTTTTTTTATTTTGCGAATTTCGAGAAAAAAAGTGGTAGAAAACGATCCCCGGACCCCAAAAACCTTAAATAAAAATTCCAAAAAAAAAATCAACGAAAATGACATTCCAAAACCTACTTGATAAAACTAAAGTTTTTCTCACTTACCCCGTTAAAACACTGGGAATTTTTGGTGGAAAATGAAGAAAACTCAAAGCCTCGTACTTTAAATCAGTTTTCCCCACTGAAAAAGCCTCGTAAAAGTGGAAATTCGAAGAAAAACTGAATAAAAATGTAAACACGTCAATTGAAAATGGCCGACTGTCAAAAATGCTTCTTTGATTGAATTTAGCCACAAGCGATGTTGCCACATCAAAAGCATTTTAAATGGAGTTTTGCTAATTATGGTATTTAAAACTAGAAATTTTTACTAAAAAATGAAGAAACCTCAAAGCCTCGTATGTTAAATCGCTTTTTTCCATTAAAAAACTCCGGAAAAATCGAAAATTCGGGAAAAAACTGGCAAAAAATCACAAGGCGTCACTTCAAAAGGGCCAACTAAAAGCAACGTTGCCACATCTCATCTCGGAAAACAAAAATAACATTTTAAAAGAGTTTTTTATTTAAAATTCAATTTAATAATTAATTAATAATGAAATTAATAAATCAATGAAAATGACATTATAAAGTTTACTTATTGATTATAGTGAATAAGACAAAGACAATGATGAAGTAGTATATGTTTGCAAAAACCACCGTTTTCTGTTTTTGAATATTCCCGGCTCTTTGATCGGACGCTAAAAATCGCATTTTAAATACTCCCGG